GGTTCCAGCAATTGAATCAAAACTGCTTGGGCCAGTGGAAAAGAGCCAATAGTGGAATGGAGGAACTGGCCATGAACCCCTAATTCTAGGGGGCGGGCTGCACACCCACTCTCCCTGAGCTGAGTCATGTGAAGCCCTTTTTACTGTCTTGCCCTCTTTGACCTGACAACCTGCATACAGACCCCTCCTAGGGTATGAGAAGGGGAGAGTCCTCATGTCAGAGCTGGGAGGAATGTGAGCCCTCGCAGGTCTTTATCCCTCCAGGACTTGGTGGTAGGTTCCTTCTCTCCAGAGGTTGGCATGTGGTGGCTTAAATGCTTTTGAGAGGGGGGAGATGCCTTAGTTCTGATTTACACAGAAGCTGACAAAGGAACTTTCTTAAACGTATGACCTCCCTAAATGGAGAACTGCCTATAATTGGTCTGATTCTTACAGAACTAGATTGTCTTCTAATTAAGCAGTTTTTACCACAAGGTAGTAGAAATCTAAAAATGTGTATTTCATAAAATGTCTAGACATTCCTCAAATTCTGAGCTCCCTGAAACTTACCTACCAATGTAGGGTATCAATGTTTAAAACAAAGGAAAATTTCTGTTTTACACTAGTGGCAAATGCATGTAAAGACAACATAAATCCTAAAAAATGTGAATATTCACTGTTATCTCAAATGCCATAGATATTTTGCTGTCTCATCTATATTTAGCATCGTACTGTGTACTTACATTACCTTCAGTTAAGATACTTTGTTTTTATTGGCCTAATTTTAGATGGACATAAAAATACCTCACCTTTGTTTAAACCTGTGTTAAATGACTTGAGGATTATGTCCAGGTTGTTCCTAGCAACACTATATAACACATAAAGCAAAGTACATAGTCTTTTTTATGTGTCTTTGTCCTTGATTCTACAATTTAGAGATATTAGTGACTTTGATCCTAGCCTTTCATGTGTTGATGTCCTTGATTCAACAGCTGAGGGATATTAGTGACTTTTTTGTTCTAGTAGGATAAAATATAGCCTTTTAGCACTAGAAATCCAAGGGATTTTAATTTCTATTTGTAGAAAAAGTAATGCATATTTAAAATGAGTGTCTTGCAAAGTGGTTGGGTATTTTTCTTGGGCCTGTTCTTCCCCATTTAAAGGATAACTGATGGCTGCCAAATAAGTGGCCCAAAGTCACATCTAGGGAGCTGTGACCTATGTACTGTGGAGAATAGAGCTCAGTGGGTTGTTTTTTTTCCCTGTTTCCAAGATAGTGTGTTAATTACACAAATTTGAATTGGTTCCTCTGCAACCACCCATTTATGATGCTCTTTGGCCATTTGCTTTCAGAGTTGTGTTTGTATGCAATGTATAAAAGAGATATTGCTGGGATTCTGGGTTTATAGCCCAGATGCTGTTCAAGGTTAGGAAGCTGGTACAATTTAATCCTTTGAATCCATGTTGTGGTACAGAAGAGCCTCTGTTTTATTATTTTCTGTTTGAACTTGTCTGTTTCTCTCACCCTTTGGATGAAAAAAGGAATTTTAGGATGAGGACAAAATCCAGAAATCACAAAATAAATCATTGTGGCTTTAGGTGTTTTATTAATAGGAAAGCATTATCTTAATGTATTGGTTTTCGTTATCATGCATATCTAGGTTGCTGAACCAAACCCCGTTTGAGCTGTCGTTTGGCTTTTATAGATTTAGTTAATCATTGGTATGCTCGTATGTACTTAGAATTGGAAATAAACATACAAGTGTTAAGGTGGCAGGGGGTATTAAATAACAGAAAGCTAAGAAGTTAAACTACTTTAAGGACTGATGCAGATGGATGAGAGGGTGACTACGGAGGATGAGTACTTCAGAAGGCCTTGAATTCGAATTTGAAAAATATTCAGGAAATTCATATGGCTTCCAACTGAACTTAGCATTTATTGAAAAGTAAGTTTGTTTTTTTCTATATTTGGTAAATATTCTGTTTTTCTGTTTCATTTGCTTAATGAGATCATGAAGTGATTATTGTTTAATTAAGAAGAGTTTAGTTTGTTAACACTTTAAATGTCATCCATTTGGCTGATATTTAAAACTTATAATGAGTTTGAGCTTTCTGTTCTTTTGCCCTACCCATGCTTTAAACTTGTGGGCTAAGAGTGAATTTGAAAACTAAGGATTTCAGTTGTTTGTTTTTTTCAAAACTAGGAAACTAACAAAAGTTATTGAATTTAGCTTATATAATTGCTGCAAAAGTTATTGCTCTTTTTGGTAATAAATAAATGATACAGACCCAGTAAGCTAGGAAGGATCTCTTTATCTATCTTTAGGAAACATGTTATCTGATTAATAAAATAACTTAGTTCAGGTAGCAGATGATGCCAGGCCGATGTATTGGAGTGAATGAAGGAGAAAGATTCCTTCTAGCCGCGAGAGTTAGAAATGCTACATAGAGCAAGTGTACTCTGTCCTGGGTCTAAGGAATGGGTCAATTCACTCACATGTTTAAATCTATGACTATAACTATTAGTTACATTTCGACTTCCATGATACAATATTAGGCCCACTTCATAAAATTGAAGCATAATCAATTTGTGATATTTCCAGCCTATATTATAATCTTTTCCTGCCTCATGTAGCTTATAATACTTTTATAAAAAGCTTATCATCACTTACCAAGATTGACCTCCTCTATAGTCCTAGCAGCAAGGTATGCTGGGCCATTAGGCCAGGCAGCGTTGGCTTCAAATCCCTGCTTGACACTTACGGCATTGGGTAGCTTACTCAGCTTCTCTGAACCTCTTTGCCCACCTGTAAAAAGTGGGTGATCATGCCACTTTTGCATGCTAGATTTAAAGGTTAGGATCCATATATGAAAGCATACCCCTTCTCATTATGTTCACTTAAATGTAAACTTGTTTCTCATACTTATGATCTTTTCATGTATCCATCCCAGAACTTAGTTTCCTGTTCCATAGTTTTAGCTGTTCAGGAGTCACAGATTTGTAGATGCTACCTGCCTACCAAGCTGTACTTGATCCAGTTCCAGATTCTTCAGTTGTTTGACACTGAGTGATTGTGCAGGTGCAGATCTCACATTTCTGGTTCATGTACCTGAATTAAAACCCTTTGCACTCGGATGTAGAGTGTGACTCAACACGGTTAGCATCGGTAGCAGCAAGAGAAAAAAGCAAGCGAATGCAAAGGGTTAAAGGGGTCTTACCCATTTCTTCAACTAAAAAATTCTGATGGGAACCTAAACTTACCAGTAAGGCAACTAATAAAAGTGAATTGAAAGTTTATTTTTTGTGGTTTAAACCTGCTGAGCTATTTCCTATGGTTACTAACATTTTTTCCTCTTTATAATTACATATATATATATATTTGTTTTTTTGAGACAGTCTCACTCTGTTGCCTGGGCTAGAGTGCCGTGGCATTAGCCTAGCTCACAGCAACCTCAAACTCCTGAACTCAAGCAATCCTTCTGCCTCAGCTTCCCAAGTAGCTGGGACTACAGGCATGTGCCACCATGCCCGGCTAATTTTTTCTATATGTTTTTAGTTGTCCAGCTAATTTCTTTCTATTTTTAGTAGAGACAAGAAGGCCTCGCTCTTGCTCAGGCTGGTCTCAAACGCCTGACCTCGAGCAATCCTCCCACCTCGGCCTCCCAGAGTGCTAGGATTATAGGTGTAAGCCACCGTGCCTGGCCTATAATTGTATTTCTTAGCTAAAGGGCAAAACATTCTTACCATTTCTATGTGATGGGGATTGCTGACCCATGTGCCTTCCAGGACCAGACAGGTACACCAAATAAGGAAAGAGGCCACTGCAGACGGTGCACATACACCTAAAAGAGAGCAACCCAACCGCAGCCCTGCAGAGACAGGCATAGTGCTGGGCTTTTGGGTGTTGTTTTTAAGGCTGAGAATCTGAATTTACTTGTGAAATATCAGGGAAATAGTGGGTATACTGTTGCCTGCCTCTGGCCTCCCCTCTTTTTTTGTTAACTACTCTTATAAGTCAAACCAAATACATTGTGGACTAGTTTGCCTGTGGGACATCAGTTTGCCACCTCTTCTCTACAGTAACTATATTGGTGCCATGTGTAAATGCTATTTTCAAAGTTAGCCTGAATACTTCAGTTCCATACCTTTTCGCTTCCATATGGATAATGGTGGTTTTATTTCAGTCAGAAATAATGATTCATAATCTTCACTGTTCACACCAGCTGTCCTGATTTAAAGCATGCAATTTCAGGGAAAACAAAAGCAGTTGAGTTCTGCCCGGAAGAGTCTTACATTGGTATTTAACTCTTTATTCTTACCAGAATTCCACCATAAGATATGAAAAATGCACTGGTGCGCCCTGCGTTGTAAATTTTTATATGGTTTCAGAATGGAGGAGTTGTTTTAAATTATTTGTGACAAACCAAATTGTGACAAAACCAAATTGTTGGAACCCCTAAAGCAACTTCTTCATAGTGCTGTATTTATGATTATGGTTTAACTGTCCAAAAGTGGAACTTGTAGTGGGATTATTTAAAAATCTGCCAGTAAATTAAGCATAATCTGCTGTGATAGGAATGTCCAGTAACCACTTTCTTAAACTTACAATAAGTCAACTGAGTATATAGTAAGCCATTTAAGTTTTTTTTAAATGCAGCTGCTTCTTTACAACTGCAATTTACAGAACCTTAGCTTTGAAACTCATTTCTTTTGAAGTACATTTTGCAAAATTGGGTATCTTGACCTTTCTATAGGGTATACAGTAGAATAGAGGAGAAAAAGGATGGAAGAATAAGAGTTCTTGTCCTCAAACAATGCCGCTATTGACTGACCATCCTCTACAGGTTTTCATTTTATGCAAACGAATACTTAGTATATCCTGTGGCGTAAGCAAATGTGTCTGTCTCAAGTTATTGGGGATCCTTTCCAACCTTCACAGTTCCCTGCCTTTTTCTTCTGAAGATTACAGTGAGCACAAATCTGGAAGAGCGTTAATTTTTCTCATTTTTATTTTCAATAGGTGGAATACATGTTGGTATCTTTTGATCATGAAAATAAGAAAGTCCAGTTGGTCCTGTCTGGAGAGGAAGTTCTTGAAACTCTACAAGAGAAGGGGGAAAGGACGAACCCAAAGTAAGCCGATGTGTTGAAGTTCCATTTCTGAAACTGTTGGAACTACTAGAATATAGAGTCATTTCTCAGCTTTATAGGAGGCAGGATGGCATAGCAGTTAGGAGTGCAGGCTCTGGTTCCTGGTTGTCTGGCTTTCAAATCCTGATTCCTCTACTTAAAAGCTGAATAACCTTGGACAAATTACTTAACCTTTCTGTGCCTCCTTTACCTTGCTTTAATGTAGAGATAATGACAATACCTACGTATAGGGCACTAGGATTAAATACATTAATATATTAGGCCGGGCGCTGTGGCTCACGCCTGTAATCCTAGCTCTTGGGAGGCCGAGGCGGGCGGATTGCTCAAGGTCAGGAGTTCAAAACCAGCCTGAGCAAGAGCGAGACCCCGTCTCTACTATAAATAGAAAGAAATTAATTGGCCAACTGATATATATATAATAAAAAATTAGCTGGGCATGGTGGCGCATGCCTGTAGTCCCAGCTACTTGGGAGGCTGAGGCAGAAGGATCACTCGAGCCCAGGAGTTTGAGGTTGCTGTGAGCTAGGCTGACGCCACGGCACTCACTCTAGCCTGGGCAACAAAGCGAGACTCTGTCTCAAAAAAAAAAAAAAAAAAATATTAAAGCATTTTTGTACAACCAACTAAATATAAAAACTTATTAAGCATTTTTGGGGGGCAAAAAACCATTGCCAAAGCATAACCAGGATCAAAAATCATGGTGCAACATAAAACTTGCAGATGGATTTTGTTTGGCTGGCATGGTGTTTTTAAATATTTATTTAAATAGACGAAGAGCAGGAAGGAAGGGGATATGTATTCTTCAGTTCATTTTCTACTCACTAGTTTTTGGGAAGCTTCATTTGAGTTTGGATACCTGTAAGGCCTCACCTCCTTTCTAGCTTGTCCTAGACAATGAGTCCCATGTGTGCATTTTCAGTTATTTACAAATATTTTAGACCCAATACTTGTTAACCCTTATAGATGAAGAGCTATGGAAAAGTAATAGCTGTTGGGAATTGTCAATGAGTTCTTGGCTTTTTTTTATGCCTAATGGTTTCTAAATTTTTTAAGCAATCTTAAAACTTTTAAAAATGGAGTAGGCTACAGCAGAAGAATAAAATGGAACTAAATTGTTTTTCCTCTGTAGCCATCCTACCCTCTGGAGACCAGAGTATGGGAGTTACATGATTGAAGGGACACCTGGACAGCCCTACGGGGGAACAATGTCTGAATTCAACACAGTTGAGGCCAACATGAGAGAACGCCGGAAGGAGGCCACTTCTATATTAGAAGAAAATCAGGCTCTTTGCACAATAACTTCATTTCCAAGGTTAGTTCCTATATTAACATGTCCCAGAAGACGTTAGAGCGGTAGGTTATAAAGAGAGCAGGTTGTGACCCGAGCATTTCACCCTACAATCCTCACACTTTACGTACAGTTCATACTTTATATATCACATTTAATAGACTCTGTAATGCTAGAGCTAAAGGGAAAATTGCATGGCAGCTTCAGTCGGTGGATAGTGGCTGCCTAGAGCACTGTGGTGAGAGCACTCACCTGGGCATGGGGGAAACACCATGGAATCGTGATGAGGACCAGCAGTGGTGGCCATGTCCACCGCAGGTAAGCGTGGAGAGGCAAGGCACAGCCACCAGGCAGTTCCAACCCTGTAGGCAGTAGCCAAGCCTCCCGGTGACCTCCAAGTGCTCTTCTCACTTGACTGTGACAGTTGCTGCCTCACGCACTTTCAAATACGAGCATTTGCCTACTGGTATGTAGTGGTATTGGTGGCAGATCAGGTCACACCTGTGCTCTGTGTACTATTAATACATATTAATTATGAACAGGATGCAACATTAGGTCATGTTTGGATATTGTACTGAAAAGATTTAGGGTTTGTCATCAGATGTAGTTATGACATATACTAGAATACATAAAAGTAAATATAAATAGTGAAATAATGTTCTTAGCTTAGAATTAGGTATGTAAATACTGCATGTATTATACACAGAGCCTCTACACAAGAATGCAATCCTCTCAAATCATGAATGTGAGTTGTCTATGCTAGCTATCTGTTAGATCGTGACAGTAGACTTACCTCCTCAAAGTTCAAAAGAGCTTCCAGGGTTGGTATCCATGGCCTAGAATACTTGAAACTATTTTTATACCTTTTTCCCTGTTAATGTCTGTAACAGACACAGACTTTCAGAATTATTCCATTGGTCTTAGGGGTATTTAAATGGAAATTTTCTTTTTATTAAATCTTTATCATTGGCCGGCCATGGTGGCTCATGTCTGTAATCCCAGCCCTTCGGGAGGCTGAGGTGGGTAGATCACTTGAGGCCACTTGAGGAGTTCAAGGCCAGTCCAGACAACATAGCGAGACCCTGTCTCTACAGAAAAATAGAAAAATTAACCGGGTGTGATGTTGTGCACCTGTACTTCCAGCTGCTTGACAGGCCGAGGCAAGGACAATTGCTTGATCACAGGAGTTTGAGGCTGCAATGAGCTATGATGACACAACTGCACTCCAGCCTGGGTGATAGAGCAAGACCCTGTCTCAAAAGCAAACAAAAAAATCTCCACTGTAACGTGTAAATGGTTGAAACCTTATTTAAGCCACTCATCAAACATTTATAGAAGCATGTCTTATTTTCTGTGATTCCTTCATTCCATTTGGGTAGGCCACTCCCTTCCCTGCCAGAAGAAAAAACCCCAGCAGGGTGAGGGTGGACAGGTGTTTTGATATGAATTGGCACATTTCTTCTTCCCCCTGATGTTTGAAAGAGGGGAGAAATCTTTGACTCTGGCATTCACTCAGACGCTTGAGTGCCTGCTCCGTGCCAGCCCTAGGGAGCATGGGCGTGCCATCATGACTGAGAACAGGCAGGCGGTGTCCCTTTGGAGCTAGCGGAGACAAGTCAGTAATGCCCGCAGATTCAGGGAGTGTAAACTTGGGGCAGTGCTGTGAGGAAGAGGTGGGGAGCAAAGCATGTGATGTGGCAGTCTGCGGGGTGGCGGGTGAGTGAGTGATGTCCAGGTTCTGCTAGGAGGTGTGTGACGGGGGCGGGGGAGGGGGGGATGTCCTGGAGAGGGGGAGCAGTGTGCACAGATATCCTAGGATGAGCCAGCCAAGTGGGGGCCTTCTGAGAACTAAAAGAAGGCAAGTTGGCCGGTGTGAATAGGAAGAATTATAGTTGTCATCCTAAAAGCAGTGAGAGGCCTTGGGAAGGTTGGATTTTTGCTTCTCAGCCCTCACCTGGGCTGTTGTGTGAGCCGTAGCTGACTAGGAGATAGGTGAGGGGCCCACCCGGGGTGGGGATGGGGGGGAAGCAAGGGCAGCCTGCATGTGGATGGGTAGATCGAAAGGTGGCAAAATCAGCGGACCTACTGGGGGAAAGAAGAGATGTCAAAGCTATTGCTCTAGTGATTGCCCTCAAAACCTTAGGATATCAGAGTAAGGCCAAGAAGTAGGTTACAGATGTTATATGACAACTTCTAGTGAACTGGAAAATTTAGTATCTTACATTTTCCTTTTTTTCCCCTTAACATTAAGAGGGTTGTACATTTCACTTAGCAAATTAAAAAAAAAAGTTTGTAACACAAACCAGAACTGTTTTATATTTTAAAATTTAGGAATGTGTAGTATGGATAGGCAGTGGTGATTCCTTGGGGACCACAAGGTAAAGTTTTTGGTTCAACCTAATGTGTCTCTTACCTTAATTGAGAATGGCTCTATATGGAATAGTTGCACTTTTTTAAAGCTGCTTATGTCATTATGAAAGGAGAGTTGAAACAGGCATAAGTTTTATTCTAAAAATCTATAATTTTTTTAAAGCCTAACCATATGTATTAGGAATGGAGGGTCTTTTAGGATTTGTAAACAAAACAAGAACAAATATTAGTTATTTAGTGGTTAGAAGCCTCCCCTTGCATCCACAATAAATGATAAAAGTTTTATTATAATGTGGGATCACAAGAGAAAGGGGATTACTCCAGTCTTAAGTGTAAATAATGTGGTTTTTCTCTCTGTAAAGAGGCAAAGCTCTGTAGTGTAGAATTGTAGTCTAAAACATGGGTCACAAGACTTTAACTTTAAATTACATAAAATGAAAATTTAGTTCCTCATTCACACTGGCCTCATCTCAAGTGCTCAGCCACGTGTGGTTGGTGACTTTCACATTGCTTTGGACAGTACAGAGATGAAACGTGTCCATCATTGCAGGAAGTTCCATAGGACAGCACTGGGCTAGAAGAAAGCAGTGCTGTATGTGTCTGAGGATCCGAGCTCTGACTCTTTCTCCCTTCCAGACAAACACGTCTCTCTTCATCTCACCCGATTATAGTTAGCAAGGAATCCCCCAGATTTAAGATTGTTACTCAGCTAGGGGACTCTTCCTAAGGTTTGCAGGCTCATAGTAAATAATGCACATAGGTGCAGGAATTCTCCAGAGCCATTAGAGCCAGGAACTCTTTTCCAGATAAGATCAGCAGCTCAGTTGTTTACAAGGTGGATGTGGGCAGCCAACAGGTACTTTATTTTATAAAAGGTAAGGGTTAAAAATAAGGCATGGGCTAGTTGACCCTTAAGCCAAAAGTTTCCTACCACTGATCTAAAACCCTGACAAGAGCCTCCCTTGCTTTGCTCTCACTAACTTTGTTAATCTTTGTCCTCCCTCACAGCACACTTAACTTTGATTTTAAATTACTAACTTGGGAAAACCAGCGGCATCACTGCAGGTGATGTGGAATTTGAGGTTTACAAACGTAGGGATATATATGGGGCTTCATTTTTCTGTGTTGGAATTAGAGCTCTTCTTTAGGTCAAGTAAGATCATTGGGTTTTGTGTCAGACTGCAGGGACTCTCTGGTGAATGGGGACACCTGCAGAGACACTGCCAGTTCTTGGGGGATTCGTGTGATCTGCAGAGGCAAAAAACAGCAGGCCCCTTCCAGATTCCCAGATTCGAACAAATCTGGGAATTCCAGGAGGTGGGGGGCAGTGGTGGTGTGCAGAAAGTCAGAGGAAAAATCTGAGGGTTTAGCACTGGGAAAAGAGGATGCCTCGGAAGCTGTGTGGAGGGATATGTACCACCCATGACAACTGACGTGACCAAGGGAAGTGACTTCTGTGTTGTCAGTCCTTCCTATTACATGAAGAGGTGGGGAGGACCAAAGTAAATGCTCTGGATTGTGAACGAGCAGACACTCGGGTAAATCAATACTGGGCTGGAATCACAGAAGAGCAGGATGATGTTCATAAGACGCAAGCAAGAAGTGCAGGCAGTGGGTGTAAAGGTGCACAGCCCTTATAGAGCATTTGTTTTATAAACACAAAGCCATCTGAAAAGGGAATAATAGAAGTGAGATGTTCTTTAACAGGTGCAGTGATGGCAAAACTACAGTAATTTATTCCTGAAAACAAATCCCATCTACTTAGTTCTTCAATTTGTTGTAGATTAGGCTGTCCTGGGTTCACAGTACCTGAGTACAAACCCAACCCGGTTGAAGGTGGAGCTTCCAAGTCCCTCTTCTTCCCAGATGAAGCAATAAACAAGCACCCTCGCTTCAGGTGAGTATGGCTTTGTGTTGAAATGCAGGAGCCTGTCGCTCAGATCTCTGCCTTCTGAGAATGTGGTGTTCCAGTCTGGGAATCCTTCTTGAGCATTTACTGAATTCTGGCTCCTTCCCTACATAACTGGAGAAGGCAGCAGACATATACCTGTTCACAGCCCCAGTTCCCCCAACGCTGCTTGGTGGTCACTTCTTACATCCAGCCTCGATTTGTTCGTTTTCCAAGTCCTCTTAAAGTCATTTGTCTAGCTACTATCCTCTCTTTAACGCAGATTTTCAGTCCTAGTTGTGTAAACACTTCCACTTCGGGAAGCTTTCCCTTAGTTACTCCTGCCTTTTCCCCCATGAGTTACCATCAGTATCTGTGATCAGCTCAACTCACTCTATATACCTTGGTAGGAAGGTAAAACAGCTGGTATAGGCACTCTCCCTTCTGTGAACTTCTAGGTCAGTCAGTTTGTAGTTTAATTCTTAGGTTTTAAGTTGCTCAGGGGCTTCACCAGGCTGCCCTTAGCTTTGCACCTCAGTGCTCATCCATCAACCTGAGCCCAGGCTCCTGATCCAGAGGTAGGAACATGGGGACTTCTCAGCATTCATTACTTTAACAGGCCTGCACATGTGCTGTGTGCAAAGTCTTTGAGGGAGATAAAGATTTATCGACATAGTTCCCAACTTTAAATGTTGTCATGAGTGTAAAGGAAAATAAAAATACCCAGCTGCAAGAAAAGATAGATTATGGCATATGTCCAAAGGTGGTAGCACCAGAGGTCCTCCTTGGACAAAGGCGAGTGCTTCTGACTGGGGGGATCAAAGCGAGCTTCATAGAAGAGGTGGCATTTAAGCTGAGTAAATGGCAGCATTGTCTAATAGAAACACAAATGTAATTATAAATTTTCTGGTAGCCACATTAAAGTGAAAAACAGGTGAATGTAATTTTATAGTATATTTCATTTAACCCAATAGATCTAGAATTCGTAATCAGTATTTTTAAATTATTAATGAGAAATTTTACTTTTATTTATACTGAGTCTTCAAAATCGAGTGTGTATTTTACTCAGCATGTTTTAGTTTGGATTAGCCACGTTTCACGTGCTTAATAGTCACAATGTGCCTAGTAGCTTCTGCGTGAGGCAACACAGGTCTGGAGGATAAGTACTAATGCTGAAGATTGAGGAGGAGAGGAATAAGGTATTGGGTGGGGTTGCAGAGAAGCCTGGGGAAAAGGAGTATTAAAGTTTGAGTATCTTTAAATTTAACATGGGGAATGTTAGAAACATAGGGTGAAACCAGACCATGGCAGACCTTGCCACCTGAACTTGATTTGGTAAGTTGCAGGGAGCTACGGAAGCAGTGCTGAGTGGGAAGAGAATGGCATTCTCAAGAGCCAAGGAATTGATATTAAGGCAAAAGCCTTTTTTCAGAAAATTCCCTGAAGAGTATCTTGACCCACATTTTCTGTAGGGTGGTCTTAGAGAATTCATTTGATTTCATTGCATTTACTCATGTGATCAAATTCTTCTTATACATGATGGCCCTTAGGTGACCAATTTATGACATTTGGTTGTCTGTTTTAGTACCCTCACAAGAAATATCCGACACAGGAGAGGAGAAAAGGTTGTCATCAATGTGCCAAGTAAGTCTGCAGAGGGGTGGCGGGGTGGGAGAGAGATACCTGTTGAATTGTTGTTTAATGATCGACTCTCAAACATTTTATTCTTTTATCTTTTTAATTAATAATACAGTATTTAAGGACAAGAACACACCATCTCCATTTATAGAAACATTTCCTGAGGATGATGAGGCAGCAAGGGCTTCTAAGCCGGATCATATTTACATGGATGCCATGGGATTTGGGATGGGCAATTGCTGTCTCCAGGTATTGTTTCAAATATCCAGAGAGGGAGAGTGTCTTCATCTGTTTCTGTTTATTAACTACTTTTCTTTATATATGCATGTTTACACTTCTAAAAATCAGTTTAATCAGGATGAAATGGTAGATGGTAGGAGTTTCTGAAAAGCAATGAAATTTTTAGTAAATTCTTTAGAAGCTTTATCTTGACTGATAATTTTACAGAGTCTATAGTTTGCCACAAAGGTATATACTATACTGTGGTTATTAATTAACTTAAAATGCAGACTATTCCATGATCCTTGTCTTTATTTTCTGTGCCTGGTTTTTACTGCCATCTAGTGACAGGCTAGCGAGGTTGTTAAACATCACCCAAATCTCTCATTTCTGGAAATGAGCTCTCATGGAAATACTCCAGTGATTTTGTAATCCAAAAAAAGGATTGCTTGGACTTCCAATTTTTACATTGTGCAAAGCCATCCAGTGGTATAAAAAGAGTAAATATTTAGCAGCCCATGTTTGTCTGTCTTACCCCTGGCTAAGTTGTACAGGGGGTAAATAGCCTTTCTCTATTTACCCACTTAAAATTTTTTCTGGATCTGATTAAGTTACTGGTGCCCCTGGCAGTGATTGTGCCAAGGCTCACTTAGGACCTCAGTGGGAGAACACAGAACTCGTCAGGCAGCACGCGGGCCAACGACCGGGGTTGCCTCAGGTATTTGGGTAACTCCCTTCACTGCTTTTCACTTAGTTTTCTCATCCATGAAAAGGAGGGTTTATATTAAGGCCCCTTCTAGATCTGACTCTAAGCTCATATTTATTTCATTGCTTTAACAGAAGTATTTTTTTTTTTAACTTTCAATTTGATTAAAATCATGTTAGAGGCCACGCATGGTGACTCACGCCTGTAATCCTAGCTCTCGGGAGGCCGAGGCGGGATTGCTCGAGGTTAGGAGTTCGAAACCAGCCTGAGCAAGAGCGAGACCCCATCTCTACTATACACAGAAAGAAATTAATTGGCCAAATATAGAAATTAATTGGCCACATATAGAAAAAATTAGCTGGGCATGGTGGTGCATGCCTGTAGTCCCAGCTACTCGGGAGGCTGAGGCAGGAGGATTGCTTGAGCTCAGGAGTTTGAGGTTGCTGTGAGCTAGGCTGATGCCACGGCACTCACTCTAGCCTGGGCAACAAAGCGATATTCTGTCTCAAAAAAGAAAAAAAAAAATCATGTTAGATCAGGCATAGGAGTTGCACAAAATGTAAATTTTCAAATTGAAAATTTCATATAAAAAAAGAGTGTCTGCTTGTTATTGTCCACGGAGATTTTATCCTGTTCTGATTGCTTCAGCTGGTTGGAAGCCTGGAGCAGCACAGTGCCTGGCCCTGGGAGGCCCCTCTGGGCTACCAGCCTGATTGCTCTCAACACAGAGGCCCAGAAAGCCAGCAACCCCTCATCTCAAACAGCTACGGCATCTACGCATACCTCTTTGCACATATACCTCTGATCTGTTTATTTTTTAAACTATACATAATCCAAATTAAATGCCAGAGTCAGACTTTTGCATGCTGAATGTATTTAAATAACATAGCCAAGCATAATTTTTTGTTTTATTGATGTGTATAATATGTGGCTTCCAAACAAACATAGGCCAGTAAGTTACAGTCACACTTCATAAAAAGAGACCTTTTGACTTTAAATGCATATCTGTTTTCCTATCTTAATTACAGATATTTCTAAAGAGAGCCAATAAGTTCTAGAACTTACAGTGCATAGCTTTAAAATTGTTTAAGTGCTATTATAGTACTGATTACCTTTCCTTGGTTTAATATTAAAACAAGGTGTTCTGCCAAGGACAGCATAGTTACTCCAGTGTACAGGATGTCCCAAAAGTCTCCATACAAAGGAAACATTTTTTAAATTTCGTAATGAATATTTTGTAAATGAAGGCACTTTTAGCTATGATTTCCCATTGTCCCTACATATGGTGACTTTTGGGACACCCTGTAGTTCCAAACAGCTAGTCTTTCCCTTGAAACACTGTATGTAGACAAATAAGTATGTCCTAATGATAGATGACCAACATTTTTATTGTTTGTAGATATCAATTTTCCATCCAATTTAAGCTTTGTCATGAGTTTATGATCAAGTTATCTTTTCCCCAGTGTCGTGTCCCAGTTTTAATACTCCATGTAAGGGTGTGGCAAATGAGACAAATTCCACAAATCACCACAGAAATCCCTGCCTTGTAACTCTTAAGTGGAACACTAGAAACTACTTATTATAATAAAGCAGAAAACTGTCTAAAACCAAAAGCATTTTAACCACATTCAAAATCTTGACTCTTTTTGGGCTTTTCAAGAATCATTTATTAAGCAGTAAGTTAATGGCATGTTTTGGTAGGTTTTTTTTTTCCCCCTGAGAAAATTATGTGACTTCAAAACTGGGTGGTTAAGTACATTTTAGTTGAGATATTTAGGTTTCTAACATATATTTTTTCCTAGTTCCTCTTTTTGGCCCCTCTTTTCAGTTTCCTAGTGGCATGTATCTCTTTTTTATATGATGCTTTAAAGAATACCAGAAGCCAAGATTGTTGATATATTCACACCTTTCTAAGGTATAAGGCAGACGTCCTCAAACTACGGCCCGCGGGCCACATGTGGGTGTTTTTGCCCCTTTGTTTTTTACTTCAAAATAACATATGTGCAGTGTGCATAGGAATTTGTTCAAACTATAGTCCAGCCTTCCAACAGTCTGAGGGACAGTGAACTGGCCCCCTATTTTAAAAGTTTGAGGACCCCTGGTAAGGACTCTACTCCCCTTTCCATTAAAGCCATTATCAACAGTGACATCCTGTTTGATTTGATGACTGCTATATGAGCTCTAGAGTAAGGAAGCTAATTACTAAATTTGTTTAACATAACTAAGTCACCTCAGTGTTGTAAACTATTAAATTCCAGTTGCTAATTTTTATAAGCATACTTTTCTAAGGTTGGCTTTTCTAGGATTCACCTATTAATTGTCCAGTGTGTATTATACATGTTGAGAGAAAGCCAGTCAAAAAACTGGAAAGAAGAAATGCTTCACATAGTATCATTTAAAAACAAAAATAGACCAGGCAATGGTGGCTCACTCCTGTAATCCCAGCACTTTGGGAGGCCAAAGTTGGGAGGATCACTCGAGCCCAGGCCGCAGTGAGCTATGATGGTGCCACTGCACTCCAACCTGGGTGACAGACTGAAACACTGTCTCTAAAAATAAATAAAATAATACACACTAAAATACCTAAAAGTAGCTTTTAAAAAAGACCTAAATAAACAAGAAGATGGCATGTTCAAAATAATTTATCAGTCAAAATGCTTAGGGGGGGAACATTTAAGTATGTTGTAGTCCTAATGCCTTATAAGTTTGGTTTTGGGGGTCATGGATTTTCAAGTTTCTCACCATCTCTTTCCCCCTGTGTTCTCCTCTTTGGCACCACCCATCCTTCCAAGATTCATTTAATGCATATTTATTAAGCAGTAACAAGGTGTCAGGCACTATCCTACAAACTTGAAGTAGAGAGAGAATGGCAAGATAGGTCCCTGCCCTCTTGAAGCTTAAATTTTAGTGATGGGATAACAACAAATAAGTATTTGCTTACCAGTTCCCACTCCCTCACTTCTCATTTAATCCTTATCACACACAAACTGGTTTCCAAGTTCGCACCTGTTCGTGGAAATGACTGTTGTTTTGGTAATGACCTAATTGCCAATCCTTCTGAATCTTTATTTCTGTTAACCTTTGAAACTTGTATTCCTTGATATCTGTGACTCTCTCCATGTTGAATTAATTTGTAATGACTAGTTAATTATCATTACCTTTAAATTAAAACACAGTGCTGGCCGGGCGCGGTGGCTCACGCCTGTAATCCCAGCACTCTGGTAGGCCGAGGCGGGCGGATTGCTCAAGGTCAGGAGTTCAAAACCAGCCTGAGCGAGACCCCGTCTCTAACATAAAAATAGAAAGAAATTAATTGGCCAACTAATATATATAATATAAAAATCAGCCGGGCATGGTGACGCATGCCTGTAGTCCCAGCTACTCAGGAGGCTGAGGCAGGAGGATCGCTTGAGCCTAGGAGTTTGAGGTTGCTGTGAGCTAGGCTGACACCACGGCACTCACTCTAGCCTAGGCAAGAAAGCGAGACTCTGTCTCAAAAAAGAAAAAAAGAAAAGAAAAAAACAAACAGTGCTGACTTAGGCAATAACATGGGAATTATAGGAAGGTCAGGACACTAAATTGTCTAATTATTTTCTATAGTCTCCACACTGACATGAAGTACTATTATAATTGAGCAGATAAACTTGTGAGTCACCAACAGAAGTTGTCAGCTGTTAAAAAAGCAAAGTTGAGATCTAGCTAAAACTATTATAACTAACAGGTGGAGATCATAACAGTAAACATTGTTCATTCAGCTGCTGTTATTTCAAGTCTTAAACACTTAAATTTCCAAACCAATGCTAAATTCAAACTGTCATTGAATAACAGTAACAGAGGAAATTAAAAATGTTCCCAGTTTGCTGTTGTTACAAATGTGCTAACACAAACACAGTTTGTATTCCTTGCCTCTTCTATGCCAATCCCCCAAAGATGGCAGATCTTTTTTTAGTTTCTATTGAGTAATTGTTTTAGAGGATGATTTGCGCTAACAAAATTATGTGATCTTTTTTTCTGCCTAACTCTTAAGTGTCCTACCTTCCCTGCCCACCTTCTGTGGTCTTCCTGGCTGATGTCTCCATCTTCAGAACATCATCTGACCCTGCTTCCCATATATTTCTCCAGCTCAAATTTTTCTTCTGTGCACCAGCCCTGAAGACCCAGGCACTTACAAGGCCTCTTGGTCATGTGTTTCCTTGGTTTCATAAGCCCATCATGTCACGTTACATCTTTTTCTCTAACTCTTCTTCCTGCTTGTCCTAGGAGCACCCCAGCCAAAACCTAAGTGCCCCTCCCTGACCTGTGCCACTCTCTGTCCCCACTGGTCACTGGCACCTGTTGCTTTGACTCTGGCGTCCCTCTCCCCACATCCTTTCTTAGCCTTTGCCTTGACAAGTAGTCTTCTATCTGCGTCCCTGTCTTTCCAGTCTTGCCCCCTTCCAAGCTGTTCCCCACTGCCACCACTGAACTTTGGAAACTATTGTGAACATCCCCAAATCCCTTTTGTTTCACAATTTATGTAACCTCTCAGCTAAATGAGGGGATGGGAAATTGCAGAAGAAATAAGCCAGTAGAAGAGGAAATGCTTCGCTGAATTTCATCATGTGTTTGTGTCCTGTTTTTCTTTCCTGACTTCTTAATCGTATTTCACTTAGGAACATGGTTACATACATTAGTTGTCTATAGGTAGTGGAAAATATGAAATACCATTTTCTAATTCACTGAAGACAGCTTTTAAACAAAACCAGTGCTTTAAATGTTGTCATCAGTGAAGGGCTGTTACCTCACCCCTCCCTTCCCAAGCCACCTTTCTCCTGACTTTACTGTTTGGGGAGCATGCTGATGATCTTTCCTTGCTGTTAATAACTTGCAATCTTAAACAGGTGACATTCCAAGCCTGCAGCATATCTGAGGCCAGATACCTTTATGATCAGTTGGCCACTATCTGTCCAATTGTCGTAAGTAGAAATTACTTCTTATTTTAAATACTTGTTTGTATGAAATAAGACTACATGTGCAGAATTTGCTGATAGTGTGCTATTTAAATCACATCAGTTAAGACGTTATTTGGAAAAGAATATAAATAGTCTGCAGATTAGAGCTAAGAAGCCAAGAGTCTAAGCTGTCGAAGTTTACTGCTGCTAGTAAAACTTGTGTTAAGTTTGAGCGTAGCCATTTTCTCTCTCCCATTCTTCATGGGAAAAGATTTGGGTTGTTTCCACATTATAGAGAGGATGATTTAAATGAATCGAATCTGGCCAGGCGCGGTGGCTCACGCCTGTAATCCTAGCACTCTGGGAGGCCAAGGCGGGCGGATTGCTCAAGGTCGGGAGTTCGAAACCAGCCTGAGCAAGACCCCGTCTCTACTAAAAATAGAAATTAATTGACCAACTAAAAGTATATATACAAAAAATTAGCCGGGCATGGTGGCGCATGCCTGTAGTCCCAGCTACTCGGGAGGCTGAGGCAGGAGGATCGCTTGAGCCCAGGAGTTTGAGGTTGCTGTAAGCTAGGCTGATGCCACGGCACTCACTCTAGCCTGGGCAACAAAGTGAGACTCTGTCTCAAAAAAAAAAAAAAGAATCGAATCTAAGGATTTGGGTTGTTTCTGATGTGTTTCACTACAAGAAAGCAAGCATGAGTACATAGGGTGAAAGTCTGTATGGGTTGCATAAATTGATTCTTTTTGACCAGAAAAATATCTGTGTGGAGCTTTTTTCAGCATGTAAGTGACAGTCTACAGAAACTGACTTCTGTTTGTTTTTAGATGGCTTTGAGTGCTGCGTCTCCTTTTTACCGAGGCTATGTGTCAGACATTGATTGTCGCTGGGGAGTGATTTCTGCATCTGTAGACGACAGGACTCGGGAGGAGAGAGGACTGGAGGTGGGAATGATTTTTCCCTTAATAGCCCTTTTTAAATCAAGCAGGTAAAATACAGTTATTGTAACTACTTGCAATTTTGAAGTTCCCCTTAAATTTTTATCTTAAGTAGGTTAGTCACATATGGGAAGAAAGACTATCATAGACCTATTTTTGTTTCTGGTCTTTGACTTCACAGGGTTTGTTTTGGGGTGAATATGTGGGGAAAGTGATTTGGACTGGGTGGGGAATTAATTTTTATCATATGTTATGTATTTGTTTTAGCTTTTTAAAATTAGTGCCATTTTTCTGTTTTGGAAGTCAGTGCTGATGGCTATTTTTACCAAAAGGCGTTTGACACTACTTGAGTGCTTTGTATGTGATGCTTTCTGCTGTGGAAGGTATAAGTTCTTGCAAAAGATTCTTTTTCCATATAAAGGGTTAGGCTCTGCTTAATATTAGTAGGTTAGCACTTCTTGTTTGCATGTTGAACTGTAACCCACCCTACATTTCTCCAACTAGGGGTGTGCATCAGAACCACCTATGAAGATCTTTAGAAATAGACACTCAGGCTTCATCCTAGACCTGTGATAAATAAGAATCTCTAGGACTGGGTCCAGGGCATAGGTGTTTTTAAAGAACCCCCCTCTCCCAAGTGATTGTGAAGTCTCAACCTGAACTGTACTACTGCTGCTATGATCTTTATGTGATTATTCATAAATTGTTGAACATACTTTGAGTAGAAATAAACTTTAAGGGATAGATCATTTTGATTTTCCATTACAGGGTGTTTTTTTTTGTTGTTGTTTTTTTTGCTTTCAACCTTGCATTTTCCTAGCTTAATAAGAATGAGAATGATCTGCTTTAAAAAGAAAAATATATATATTTAAATCAGAAGAAAAGAGTACTTAAATTGCCTTCAGATTTTTTAAAATACAATTTTCTCTAATCCTTTTTAGGGTTCACTGACTTCAGTGTCTTATGTTGAGGGTTTTATATTGTGTATAAAAATATGTAGCATTTTAATACTGGCCATTAGTTCATTTCTAGGTCATTTTTTATGGTGTTTGTTTATATTTTTTTAAATTTTAGCCACTGAAGAACAATAACTATAGGATTAGTAAATCCCGATACGACTCAATAGACAGCTACTTATCTAAGTGTGGAGAGAAATATAATGACATCGACTTGACGATAGATAAAGAAATCTACGAACAGCTATTGAAGGAAGGTGAGTTTCCCTTCTGTTTTCCTAGGTTTGATTGTACGTCTTTAGTTCTTCAAAGCTCTTTTAAACTTTTTTGCTGACTCCTGGTCTGGTTTCTATTTTTAGTGTGAAGTCTCTAACTTTTCTAATGAGGCTGCTTGTTCCTAAAGTTTCAAGTTCCAAATACTTGTGAGATCTTCTTGACTTTTAGCCAAAGGAACTTACTTTGGAGGTCTGTACCTAGGCCCACACCAGTGCCCCAGCAGGCATTGTGTAAGTAGTGAATGAAACTCTGACACTTCCCCAGTGTCCATAGGATAAAATCCTGGGCGAGGTGAAGATGCTAAGCAAACCAGCTATTTCCTAAGTCTCTAGACACCCTTTCTTCAAACTTCCTGAGCTGTCCTGTCGTCTTTCTAGACTTAGAGAAAGTGGTGTCTCCTGCTCTGCAGTGAGCACCCGTGTGATCTGTCTTTGCAGGCATTGACCATCTTCTGGCCCAGCATGTCGCTCACCTCTTTATCAGAGACCCTCTGACTCTGTTTGAAGAGAAGATACACCTGGATGATGCCAATGAGTCTGACCATTTTGAGGTATCCCCTCTGTTTTGAATGCATTTCGTTCCATGAGCCCAGATGGGAGGCAGTTTTCTGTACCCGTGAGGCATTGGTAACAGAACTCTCATAGGCCTTACATTACCCAGTGCAGTAAAGAACAAAGAAAATCAAAAATTATGGTTTAAAGTACTCTTACACTATGATTCTTACTGGTTATCTGTCTGATTCTAAATTTTTTTTGTTCAGTATTTTTATTCAGTATTTTCTCTTGTTATTCAGATATCTGCTGCACAAAAAATAACATGCTCAGTTTTTTCAGTGGTATATCACCTAACGTTAAATGCAGATATTCACATGTATGCCTTTCTAAATACAATCTATAGCACCTTCCTTCCCCACCACACCCTCAAAAGAGATATAAATCCTTCCAGGATTGCCATTAGGCTTCCCAGCGTGTCCAGGGCCTTTTATCAACATCTTAAGAAACAGCTGTCCTTCTCAGGCTCTGGGGTCATTGAAGCAGCAGCATTCCCAGGTCCCAAGGAGGGAGGACAAAGGAAAGAAGACGGAAGTGTCCAGTGACTCTCAGAATGGCAGGCTGGCTGCCAGAACTGAGAGGGAATAGGGTGGGCCGTGTGGCTCCTCAGAGGCTGCCCAGTCATGGGGGGAGACAGTGGCAGTGGGGATGAGGCATGCAGGGACAGGAAGGGTGTCTGACTTTTGGCAAACACTTATTTTCTTAGAAGATCATGCTCCAAGAAAGTTTTATTGTACCTTTTTGTGTTTGCAAGTCAAAGAGTATTTGGCATGGACAGTAAACATTTGTCTTCCCTAATTAAATAGCAAATTATCCTAATATTTTCCTGGACATGTAGAAAGTTTGGTTTATTCTTTTTTATTATAGAATATTCAGTCCACAAATTGGCAGACAATGAGATTTAAGCCCCCTCCTCCAAACTCGGATATCGGATGGAGAGTCGAATTCCGACCCATGGAGGTAAGACCCGGGCATCCGCAGGAACTGGCTCATCCTCTGCTGTTTGTCACCCTCTGACGCTCCTATCAGAAGCCTCTTACATTTGTTATATGGCAATAAAAATCCAGCATGTGCACATTTAAAAGCAAGTACAAAAGCTAAGGTGGCGGGTTGGTTTCTGAGAACAGACCGGGGGCCAAGGGCTTCCAGACCCAGATGGGAATTAGGAGAGGGTTTGGGAATGACGGGATTCGAGGAGGGGCCTGGGCCAGGGAAGAGCACGTTTGTGTGGTTGGTCCATAACTTCTCTGGGCTTCTGCTTGTCTAGGTTCAGTTAACAGACTTTGAGAACTCTGCCTATGTGGTGTTTGTGGTTCTGCTCACCAGAGTGATCCTTTCGTACAAACTGGATTTTCTCATTCCACTGTCAAAGGTAAGGATGTGTTTCATTATGGTGGTGGGTGTAGATATAGTCATTTGTTAGTATACTCTGTTACTTCAAATCTGACTTCCTTTAGCATTGTTGACCCTTTACAATAAAATGCTTCTCCCTCTACTCTTATTCTTTTTTTTTTTTCCTTTTAAACATAAGCTTTATGTCTAAAGAATTTGCATCGAAGATGATGATGGCTAGACGTAGTCCCACAATTGATTTTTGTCAACCAAAAAATCCCATTTTGATTGCAGTATTAAAATTAGGATGGGAAAAGTGTAACCTCTGGACTGCAGGGAAAGGTCTCAGTAGAACCAAACTTGAGATGTTTATGAAGAACATAAATGGCATTGGACTGCCAGAAAAACAAATCGGAGTTGATCAGCCCCAGCTCAACAAAGACGAAAAAGGAGCTTTCTGGGAGAAGTTTCCCAGCAGAGCCTTAGAGCAACTCTAGCGATGAGGCAGGAAAGCCAAGGAAGGGGGGGGGTGCCTTTGGTTCCTGTGGCTCTCTTGGCAGAGAGTGACTGGGAAAGATGCTGAGCAGAGTGAGGGCTCTGCTGCAGGGGCTCCTGCTGAGGGTATCATGGCCAGAGAGAGGAGAAGCAGAGCAGCTCTGTCACGCAAACGTGGAAACAGCAATAAAACTACTTAGCCCCAGCATCTGTCCCCAGGATGCCTTGCTCTCTGCCCCTTCCACAAGAGATTTTCCAGCCTGTGCCTGTTCCCCCAACACTCCCTGAAGGAACCGTGGCTGTCAGCCTCGGTTGCCCACTCATCGCCACCCAGATTGAAGGTGACCCATAGAAGTCTGTGCGCCCACATTGGCTTTATGCATACCTGCTGGGGAGGACCAAATCCATCCAAGGGGGAGAGTCCATGTAAACTACTGTTCAAGGCCTTTGTTTTTATGAGTGAAAATAGATCTCTGAAAGTCAACAGAAAATTGAGAACAATTAACAGCCCTAAAGAGAAGGGCCCAGCTGGTCTTGCCGAGTATATCATCCTCAGTGAAATACAGTTGATTCAAGAAACTGGAAAGAATTCTTAAATTCTAGATAAGGGTCACACCCATAAAATAAACAACCATTATGAACCAAAGAACATTTGGAGAATAGAAGTTCTTAAAAAACATGGTAGCTGCACCTTTAAAACTCAAGTATACTGTGTATACTCACCAGTAGAGTAGATGTTGAAGATCTACGTTAGTGATTTAGGAGACCAAATTAAGATTCATCCCAGCAGGATGGTGAAGAAAAGGAAATTATGGAAAAGACTGAAGCATGGACAATTGCTCTGGAAAGTTCAGCATTTGGCTTGTGATTATCTTTCAGATTTTTTTAGAACAATTTTTGTGAAACCTTGGATAAGTCAAAAATGCATGCAATTTTCAACTGAGTTTGGTCATGGAACCAATGCAGTGCAGACAGGTTGGAATATCAACTAAGTGTTTGGGAAGGATGTGGCTAATGAATGCATAGTACCTCGCTGGTTGAGAAGTTCCATTCTGGTGATTTTAACCTTGAAAATGAGCCACATGGATGACCTGAGACTAAGTTGGATAATGAGCTGAAAGCTATAGTGGAAGCGAATCCATCTCAACCTACGTGTGAATTAGCAAGTTTGACATGACAATTCCAACAATATTGAACCATTTGAAACAAATGGGAAAGGTAAAGAAGCTGGATAGATGAGTTCCACATGAATTAAATGAGTGTCAGAAGAGAAATCGTCTCGGAGCTTGCCTTTCTTTGCTGTCACAACATGAAGGCAAACCATTACACCATTATTGTTATTGGTGATAACAATATTTCATCAGAAATAACCATTATTATTTGTGATGAAAAATGGATTTGTTTTGACAGTTGCAGCTGTTCAGTACAGTGGTTGGATAAGCTGAAGTGTCAAAACACAGTCCAAAACTGAATATTCATCAAAAAAGCTAATAGTGTCTATTTGGTGATCCAGTGCTGGTTAAATTATCCACTATAGCTTCATGAAACCCGGTCCATTACGGTGGATGTCTACTGCAACCAATTGGATGAAATGATGAGGATGCTTGTGATTAAGCAGCTGACATTGGTCAATAGAGACAGGCCAATCCTCTTGTAAGACAACGCTGCTCAAACTACAGAAGCTGGCCTTGGAAACTCTGTCATCCACCGTATTCACCATGCTTTGCACCAACTGACTAGCACTTCTTTCAGGCTTTGGACCCCTTGCAAGGAAAAATATTCAATTCTCAACAAGCTGTGGAAAATGCCTTTCTTGATTTCACGGCCACTTATTCTCCAGGCTTTTTGCTGCTGGCATAACCAAGCTACCGTTAAGATGGCAAAACTGTGTCCATAGTTTAGGCGTGTATTTTGACTAATTGTACTGCTTGTTTGAGATATAATAAACTACACTTTTGATTCAAAATCAGACATTCCATATTTAATGACTAATAAAAGACTTAGTATCATCTAAATATATATAAATACTAAAATATATATAATCTAAAATATATAATATATAAAATACTAAAATAATATAGTATTTTATATATTATATAGTATTTTATATATTTTATATATATTACTATATTTTAGTATTTTATATATATAAACTTTTTAGTAGCAATCCCTTATTTTCTACAATGAAATCTTATGGGGAATCTCAATCTATAAAATACTATAGTATACTATAGTGTATATATATAGTATACTATATATAAAATGCTATAGTACATATATACTATATATAGTATACTATATATAAAATACTATAGTGTAGTATATGTAGTGTAGTATATGTAGTGTAGTATATTTATACTATATATAGTATACTATATATAAAATACTATAGTATTTTATAGATTGAGATTCCCCATAAGATTTCATTATAGAAAAGAAGGGATTGCTACTAAAAAGTTGAAAAGTTCTACTTTTAAGGTCTTAAAAAGTCATTGGCGAAATGGAGAGTTCACAGACGAAACAGTTCATGAATGAGGCGCCACTGCCAGAGCCGCCAGGTGGGCAAGCAGCAGTGACCCTCTGCCCTTGGTGGACAGTCACCTTATTCCAAATCCGACAGCCTGCTGACTCTTCTTCCCTTTCCTCACTAAAGTGAGGAGGCAAAACCTCAGTGGCAGGAAGGGAAGAGCACTGGACTTAGGAGAATGGAGGCTAGGCCGGTCCCGCCTTCATCGCCCTGAGCACTCTGGTGAGCCACTGCGCTGTGAAGGGAGCTGGCCACCTGCCCTCCCAATGCTGTAGGCTCGTTGCAAGGTTGAGTCACGAAGGGGCTTTGAATTAATTGCAGACATTCTACATGAACATGAGTTTGGGTTGGTTTTTGAAGGTGAGCTTCTCTTAAAATTCCTCGATTGGTGTTAAAAAGCGCATACCAATCTGTGGTTGAGTGACACAGGCCCCACATAGTCTGTTCTTCCAACCAGAAAGCACTGGAAAGAAAAGCAGAATTCATAAAGAGTGAGTTCTCATTGCAGATGCGAGGAAAGCAGTACGATTTCTGTGTTTGACGGAGAATGTTTTTGGACTTAGTCGTGATTCTTTTTCTCTCCCTTAGGTTGATGTCAACATGAAAGTGGCCCAGAAACGAGATGCTGTGTTGCGGGGAATGTTTTACTTCAGGAAAGACATTTGCAAAGGTATTGCATTGTTTTAGATTTCTAGGGTCAGCTTACGCTGCAGCAAGGTGCCGCAGCTCCTCCGCCCTTTCCCCCGGCAGGTGGCAACGCTGTGGTGGACGGGTGCGGCAAGGCGCAGAGCAGCGCGGAGCCCGCCGTGGAGGAGTACGCCCTCATGAGCATAGACACCATCATCAACGGGAAGGTAGGGGCCCTGTACGGCCATCTCGCTCTGCCTGCCACCTGGCAAGGAGCTCACAGCCTGTCCTGCCTCTTGTAGGAAGGCGTGTTTCCCGGACTGATCCCGATTCTGAACTCTTACCTTGAAAACATGGAAGTGGATGTGGACACCAGATGTAGTATTCTGAACTACCTAAAGCTGATTAAGAAGAGAGCATCTGGTACGACAGCCTTTTCTTTTCTCGATCTCATACTGTGGGCAGAACCACACAGTCTTAAAGTGTTCAGTTTCTTAAAGTAATATTCTAAAGTAGGCCATGTTTTTATCCATGTACAGCTTTTCACATTTTAACATTTCTGCAGTTGGATATACCTTATAATCTTTGACGGTCACAATTTGGATTAGCGCTGCTTTTTTTTTTTTCGTTACTGGTTCATGAAATAGAGGTTCATCTTAGAATCGATGGCATCTTAGATGATGAAACGTGGCATCTGGATTGCCTGTTTGTCAGTTATGTCCAGCTGTGTCCTTCGCTTATCATTGTGGACCAGTTTATGCTGCAATGAGAAACTAAGGAACTCTGACGTCTAGTTGCTCGGCCTGCCTCCATGCATGAGCCTCCTGGGAACCCCCTTTCTTTATGAGCTTTGAGGAGATCACATTTACAGTACCAGACAACTCAGCACCAGGGGCGATCAGCTGTTAATAAAAGTAACGGTAATAATGGTAGTGGCATCTGTATTTCACTTGAGCCTTCTGTAAACTTTCTGGAGGCACAGAGGAAAGCTGTAGAATCCCAAGTCACCAGTTTCCCTCTTCATTCACTCAACTTACTGTTGTTTATTCTCTCCACTGCTTTGATCCAAGATCACTCGAGGAACCCTCAAGTCCTTGAGGCAATCTGGTGACACCGGTGTATGTAGTCCTAGCCTTCTGGCCAAATGGGAGGACACATGCTCTTGTACACATGTGCTGGCTCCTGTCCCCTAGGAGCTAGCAAGGTCGGCATATGGGTGGCATCTAACAGGTACCACAGAAACTGGATGTGTGTGTGCTCATTGCCTGCCTGCAGCCTAAAACTCTTCCCCAGGAGGAGTTCTTTAGACACTGTGAAAGACATTCCCAACCCCTGCCATGTGGCTATACTAAAAGGTCATAGTGATTCCTCTTCAGAATGTTTATGCTGGCCATTAAATATCAACTTATATAAAAAAAGAATACATGCACACTTTTGTTATCCTAAAAAAAATTTTTTTTTTTTCCAGGAGAACTGATGACAGTTGCCAGATGGATGAGGGAGTTTATCGCAAAACATCCTGACTACAAGCAAGACAGTGTAATAACTGACGAAATGAATTATAGCCTTCTTTTGAAGTGTAACCAAATTGCAAATGAATTATGTGAATGCCCAGAGTTACTTGGATCAGCATTTAGGAAAGTAAAAAATAGCGGAAGTAAAACTGAGTCTTCCAACTAGACACTCTGCAAAAAAAAGTGCATTACTGTTTTATTAGCGACCGGCTGCAGTACCATGCCTGTGAGCCCATGTGTATAGTATGAAGACCAAATAGAGCTACACTGTTTCCTGGACCAATGGGCCAGGAATTGATTTAGAGGCTTCCTTCAGTAGGTTCAATCTAGAGTTTATACAGTACATGTACATAGTAAAGTATTTTTATGATTAACAATGTATTTTAATAACATATCTACAGTGAACTGGCTTGTACATTTTTTAATTCTTACTCTGGAGCAACTATTGCCTGAGCAGTTTTGTAAATGCACTGGTAATTGTACAATACCTGCATTCCAGAGTTTAAAATGTTTACTGTACATTTTTGTTCCCTTAAAGACTACCTGGGACCTGATTCACTGAAATTTATCACTTCACTTTAAAAACACTTTCTTTTGTTAATTTTCTTTGAGTCATCTCCTTTGTTGGGTACATAAAATCACTTCACTCCATTGAAGTGCTTCGAGGGTAATCTTGGGTTTCTGGCACCTTATCTGTGATGTTTCTGTGGCAGTTGGAATAGCTAACCATTTAGTCACCTTGCCCTAAGCTTTCATACTTGAATAAAACCCATTGAAGTCTTATGACTGTTTATACAAGGAGCTTTCCTCCTTTGTTTAAACTTTCTGATTCAGGCATTAAGTTTAACAACTAATTAACAATTAAGACAACTCTGCAGGAAGAAGGGAGACTGTTGCCCAGAATTCACACGTCGTGATTATAGGGATGACTTTTTTTAACTAAAAAATCATTTTTCTTCCTATGCCTACCAAGAGTACTGTCAAAATGGCATTAGCACTTATGTTGTTGCCTGTTGTTCTGATTGCTGCTATATACTTCAATTTTCAAATCATATGCATTTGCTCTAGTTTTGTTACTATTTCTCTAGTTTTCAGTAAGTATATTGATAGACTTTCTTCTAAAAGCCATTAACCCCAGATTTTACCTGGGGAACATTCTACATACTGCTTACCTTCTCTATAAAACTCATAAATCATGAAATGCACTAAGTTTTGTGAATCAGGACCCCAGATGTTTAATTGTAAATAATTTCAGTTTCAGATAATTGTTACAGCTTTGTGTTTAAAGTTTTGTTGTTTTTTTTTTCAGTTCGTTAAAAGTCTTAACTGCTTCTGAAATAACTATGTACTGTAGATTATGCATATGTTTACAGGCATAAGTATTTAAACTGTAATGCTAACTCTAAGATTGCAATAAAGTTGCTTCAGCTAAACCTGTTTATGTTTAAATACTAGGGTTTGTTCTATATTTCATACATGCATTTTGGAAGATTAAAGAATGCCTGTTTTTTATTTGCAATTTGCTTATTATAAATCAGGTTGTAAAAAGGCAGATGAACTAAAATGTTTGTGGTATGAGGAAATAAAAATGGAATTAGCATTCAGAAAAGTCTTGCATGTGTGTTAAGTTCAACAACTATATAAATGGATAATAGTTTGGGGTTTTTAGCTCAGATGCCATAAATTATTCATCATTGTGATCCTCACATGTTTTTAGAAAGAAGCTTAGGGGATGGACAGATGCCTAATCTCTTTTAGTAGCAGTCAACTCCTGTGGGAAGGGGAAGGACTTGAAGTGTGGCTGAAATGACTGCCCCTGGAAATGAATTTTTCTTTCACTCCCAACTATGCTGGGCTGGGGGGATATGGTGGTCATTGAGTGGCGGTGCTATGGGGACACTGCAGTCTAGGCTGGAGACACTTAGACTGTGAATCAGCAAGTCCTGCAGAGGGTCATTTCCGGTTCATGTCTGTGTCAATATCCACCCCCATACACATATTCAGGAGTTCCTGAAATAATGTTTTGTCTGAGCAATACACTTTTCTCAGAACTTCTTTATCAGAATGATTCTAGGGCAGTGCTTATCAAACTAATCTGCATATGAATCTCTTGGAGGTCTTCTGGTTTGGTGAGTCTGGGGTGGGACCCACGTTTCTGTTTTTCTGACAAGCCCCCAGCTAATGCTGTTGCTGTTCTGCTGGCCACATGAATAACAAGGACTTGGATCACCTTCTGTACCTGAGTTGTAGACAAGTCCATTTTTAGATAACACTTGCCTTTAATTCTAATGTAATGTGTCTAGATTTTTTTCTTACTAAAAATCAGGTAATAGTACTCTTTCTCCAAGACAGAATATAAGCTCTACAACTTTCATGAGCTTTATCATCTGAACACAGCTGAGAATGTGAGGTTTGGGGAATAGAACTGTAAACACTGAAGTAAGCAAAAAGTGCTTTCTCCTTGGTAGAAATAACCTGGGGCCAAGCCCAGACTTTCATAGCCTCATTTGGGGTACAACTGACTGTTACCAGGTCATTAAATCTGAAATGTCCAATTTTGAATTAAAAGTTTATCTCAAACAAGCAGTACAATTAAGCAGTACAAGTATGCACCTAAATTGTTGATAACAGTTTTGCCATCTTAACAGTAGCTTGTTTATGCCAGCAGCAAAGAAACCTGGAGACCAAGTGGCCATGAACTCACAAAAGGCTGCTGTAGTTTGAGCCACGTTGTTTGTGCAGCAGCGTTGTCTTACAAGAGGGTTGGCCTGAACCAACCTTGGCTGCTTAACCACAAGCATCTTCATCATTTTGTCCAACTGGTTGCAGTAGACATGCGCTGTAATCGACTGATCAGGTTTCATGAAGCTGTAGTGGATAATACCAGCACTGGCCCACCAAACGGACACCATCCGCTTTTTTTGATGAATATTCAGTTTGGGACTTTGTTTTGGCACTTAATCCGGCCATTGTGCCGAACGCTTGCAATTAGCAAAGAGAATGCATGTTTCATCACAGGTAACGATAGCAATGGTTGACATGGTGTAGAAATGGTTCACCTTCATTTTGTGACAGCAAGGAAAGGCAAGCTCCAAGACAATTTCTCTGCTGATGCTGGTTTAATACATTAACTGCCATGTGAGTTGTACTTAACTCATGCTAGTTTTGAGCCCACGGCCTCGTGAAGCATATGTAACTCACACGTCTCTCCACTTTGGGAACAGCATGAACTATTTTTCAAGTATATATAACTCAAGCACAGAAAAATTTTTTATTGAATTAGGATCATTTTTGTTTTCAAGCTTTTTATTCTGTTTTCATAAAACATCATGGCTCCAAGAAAAAAATATTTTTCTAGTGTGGCAGTGTGTTAATTCATGCAGAAGTCATGTACCCAGCTTCTTTACCTTGCCCATTTGTTTCAAATAATCCACTGTTGTTGGAATAGTGATGCCAAACCTTGCTGCTAACTCACGCGTAGGTTGAGATGGATTCATTTCCACCACAGCTTTCAGCTCATCATTATCCAACTTGTCTCAGGTTGCCCATGTGTCTCATTTTTAAGATTAAAATCACCACAATGGAACTCAAACCATCAATGTACTGTGTGTTCATTAGCCACATCCTTCCCAAACACTTTGCTGATATTTCAAGCTGTCTGAGCTGCGTTGGTTCCTGATGGAACTCATGTGAAAATGACATGAATTTTTGACTTATCTGTGATTTCACAAAAATTGCTCTAAAAAAAATGATGTACCTTCACAATAAAAAGTGTCAAAGTAAAATGTCAGGTATCAACTGTTAAACTTAGTCCTTACGGAAATTGGACATTTCATACTTAATAACCTAATACATAACCTGCTTCCAACTTGAAGTCTGGTTTCCTGCCCCTCAAGTCTCCTGCGTGAATAAGAGATTTCCTCCTGGTCCTCCATGCCTCTGCCACTTTTGGCCCATCTCTGAGGCTGGGTGTGAGCCTTGAGCTTGCCTTAGCCTTTTTTGTTTGTTTTTTGAGACAAGAGTCTCGCTCAGTCATCCCAGGTAGAGATGTGATGGCATCATCATAGCTCACTGTAGCCTCCAACTCTTGGGCTCAAGCGATCCTCCTGCCTCGGCCTCCTGAGTAGCTGGTACTACAGGCTCAGGCCAGGACACCCAACTAATTTTTCTATTTTTAGTGGAGATGGGGTCTCACTCTTGCTCAGGCTGGAAGCAATCCTCCCACCTGGGTCTCCCAGAGTGATAGGGTTACAGCTGTGAGCCACTATGCCCCAGCCTCCTTTTTGTTAACTAAGAAAAAATAATGACATTTATACTTTGGAAAAAGAAGAGCTTTATTTCTCATAAAAGTTTTGTAGCCCACAGTGGCCATTCTGGCAGGCTGGGAAACCGGGCTCCCGGCCACAAACCAAGAACATGTGCTTCAAGGGAAAAGGGGACAAAAGGAACATCATTTTATACTGAGCAGAGTGGCTAAATATACACACCTAACAAGCCAAATAGAAGTCATGAATATTTATAGGAGTCATGAATATTTGTAAAAAGAGAAAACGTGTGCAGTTGTGCTTTATACCTGCATCCCATCATCTGGGAACTCAGTTTTAAGGTTTCTCTGAGGTCCTTCTTAGAGGGGTCTGTTCAGTTAGCAGGAGGCTTAGGATTTTATTTTTAGTTCATGTTCTAAACCACCACCTGATAAGAAAAGAATTAGCCAAGAGATGTGTGGAAATCCAGGATGCGGCATGGGGTTGGTCCATATCGCTGAGGACTTGATGGAAGGTTTCTCAGGGACCTGAAGTCTTGCAAAGAGAAAAGGTGGAAGTATCCTTGAAGCCACTTGTCAGGTGGAGAGAGGGGAAGGAAGCCAGAGGGAAGCGGGCCTGTCAAAGCTCGGCTAGATGGGTTTCAGAAGTGTAAACACGCTGCTTAGTTGCATGGTCTTCAGACGTCCTGCTGATGAACTTGCCTTGGAGGGTCAGGCTCCCTCACTGTCCCTGACCACAAGCCACCGAGTCCTACCAGCTGCTTTCTCCTCTCTATTATGCTTTTGTGCAAATATTTCACATTTCCAGTAAACACTTATGGAAATACATGCCAAGTGGCATTTAGAAAAGTGTTAAGTTAGAAGAAGGTATCTCAGTTCTGGTTGCTGAGTGACTTAAGCAACAGACATTTATTTATTTATTTATTATTTATTTATTGACAAGAGTCTCACTCTGTTGCCCAGGCTAGAGTGTCGTGGCATCAGCCTAGCTCACAGCAACCTCAAACTCCTGGGTTCAAGCAATCCTCCTGCCTCAGCCTCCCAAGTAGCTGGGACTACAGGCATGCGCCACCATGCCTGGCTAATTTTTTCTATGTATTTTTAGTTGTCCAATCAATTTCTTTCTATTTTTAGTAGGGACAGGGTCTTCGCTCTTGCTCAGGCTGGTTTCAAACTCCTGACCTTGAGTGATCCTCCTTCCTCAGCCTCCCAGAGTGCTAGGATTACAGGTGTGAGCCCCCACGCCCGGCCAGACATTTATTTCTCACAGTTGTGGAGACCAGAAGTCCATGATCACGATGCTGGCAGATTTGGTTCCAGGCCGGGGCTGTCTCTCCGGTTTGCAGATGGTCATCTTCTTACTGTATCCTCACATGTTGGAGCCAGAGATCATCTCTTGCGCCTCTTTTAAAGACCCCTAACCCCATTCATTAGGGCTCTACCCTCATGATCTAATTACCTCCCAAAGGCTCCACCTCCAAATACCCTCACTTTGGGGGTTAGGCTTCAACAGGAAT